CCCATCCTCATATAAATATATTTGCATATGTACATGTCTTTATCTAGACCTCTATAAATGCCCTTTTCCTCCCAGCTCTTTCCTCTGTTTCCCTTGATTCTCCTTCTGTCCCACTATCATGCTCAGTCCCCACCAGGATTTTAACAATATTCCGGCCCTCCAACGGGTCTGAGGGACAGTGAACTAACTGGCCCCATTTAAAAAATTTGAGGACCCCTGGTTTAACCTTAAGAAAAAAAATGAAATTGATTGGTTCTCATACAAATCAGTGGCAGAACAAGAACTTTGAGCCTTCTTTGAGCACAAAGACATTCAATTATCAACAATTCATCTAGATGTTTGAGTGCTTACATGGTGTGAAAATTTGTTTGTATTGGGGAATATAAATGAAGAAATGCCAAGACAATTATTCATCTGTACTGGTAAAGCAACCCCAGAGTCGAGGGGCTCAAACTGGCAAGTAGATGAATCGACTAAGCTACTCTACAAGTAGATTTGGACACTACCCAAGTACTCCCCAGTAAAATACGTCCTTGGGTTGAAATTCCACTTCTAGACAAGTACACGTTATTTTATACTAGAACATATAACAGCTTTTAGCATTATCTCTTACCTATAATCACATCCTGCTAATTACAGATGTATTTCTTATTATACAGATGAGTGAAAAAATAAAGACTGTAATATGAAAAGTTGTTATAGTCAACTAACAAATTTTAATGTCGAATGATAGGAGCAGGCTCCAAAACTTCAACTATCATATGTACACAAGGATTCCAAATCACACGCTCTCTCTCAAATTTTCTTTTGAGCTGAAGGTTTCTTTAAGTATGTACACAGGATGTCTGAATTTGGATATCTTCTAAAAGTTTTAAGTGTGGTACATTCAAAACAAAATTCAACATCTTACTCTATACATATCACTGAAATCTCCACATCAGTGTTGCTCATCTCTGGACATGTCTTTATACAGTTCAGAAACTCGGCTGTCATTCCCTACATCACGTCCATCAGCAAACCAGTTGTCTCAATTTCCTCAAACATTATTCCATTTCCCCGTGTAGTCCAGGCAGTTCTACTCCTGAGCCCATAAATTACTTTGCGTGATGGTCTCAACACCCCAATCTCTCATGGCAATAATCTATCCTTCTTAGTGGTGTTAGGACTAAGATTTAAAACTCTATATTATCATTGTATTGGTGAAGAATATTAAACACATGATGGACTGAAAAACAAGAGCCAACAAATCGGGGAAGAAGTAAGCGAGACTATTCTTAAAGGCAAAGATGGTGATATTCCATCAGTCCCTGAAGGACGTCATGCTTGGCAAGGTAGAGGGGCATCGAAAAAGAAGAGCTCAACAAGATGGATTGACACCGTGGCAGCAGCAATGTGCGGAAATATAACAACGATTGTGAGGATGGGGCAGGACCAGGCCATGTTTTGTTCAGCTGTGCTTAAGGTCACTGTGAGTTGGAGCTGACTCGATGGTCCTAAAATCAACAGCATATTATTATGCCGCTCCTCTTCTTTTAAAGTTATTATGAATACTCATTCTTTTCAGGATTAACACCAGATTCCTTAGAATGCTGTAATAAATCTATGGTGAAAACGATTTCTATACTCCCAGTTCATATTTGTTCACCCAGCATCCCTTTGGGTCAACCCTCTCTAATCTGTTTGGTTTTAATCATGTTTCAGCTTTCATGACATATTCTGTGATCTTGTAAAGCCTCCCCTCCCTCCTTCATGCTCATCACTCTTCATACGTAACTGGAAAACCATTTCTACATCAAGTTCAACATGTCATTCTTGCTTGGGAATTTCCACCAAGATTCATCAACTCCTCTTCCTCTGCTCCTGTGTTGAAAATTATGGTTCATTTGCCAAATTTAGTGGTTGGCAGGTCCCTATGGCAATGTAGTGTGTGATACATAGCAATGTAGTGAATACTTAATAAAGGTTTATTGGCTGAAGAGATACATTGAGCCAAAGATACAGGTAAAATCTATGCAAATTGTATTACAGATGTCCAAAAACTCTTATTGATTTTATTCCAATCCTAAAGCATTCTAAATAAAAGAATATTTA